ACTAAATAGCAACTCTTTCTCCCATCTCCCTCCCCATTCCTGACACCTGGTCCCTAAAGGCAAGGGGACAAGGAGAATCAGGTCCTGCTTTTGTTCTATATCATGGCCTCAGACGCCATTTTTATCACGTTTGGGCCCTGAGCTCATCAGGGCGCACCCGGAGCTGGCTCAGAATGTCACGGGATGGGGGGGGGGTGTTGGGAGGGACAAGGAACAAAAAAAGAAAAATCTGCATTCCCATATTCAAATGAGCTCCTGCAGGAGGGAGCAGACAGCATTTCCACTGAGGAAATAAAGCAGTGAGGGACCAGAGCCTGGCAAACCCCTTGCCCACTACAAGCCAGATAGCTGCCCTTCAACTAGCCCTTGGTGGCCCCTGTTCTCTCATTCTTTCTCATTAGTGAGCTGTGCTCATACACAGCAGGAACAGAGATCTGCAGGCAATGGCACCCAGCTCACCCTTAGTTCAAGGGAGAAAGGTCTTTTCTGGGAGTGAGAAAAAAGCTGGAGGCAGAAGGCCACCTGGGACAGCACCAGAGGTTGGCGCTAGCTAAGCTGAAGCTGTGACCTGCGCTGACTTCTTCAGCCAGGAGTTACTCTTGTCCTGGTCCCCGCCATGCATTGCACCTAGCCTCTTGAATGTGAATGCGATTCAGTCTTGGAGCATTCAACACCCAACACCCAGCATCCCCACTGGACTCCATGTCATGGTTGCAAACACTGCCCTGTGCAGTACTTAAGCCCTAAACTCTGGAGGTAGGCTGGACCTCTCAGTTCCCCTTCCCTCCCACAGCTTGTGCTGGGCTTGAAAGACATCCAAACTCTTCAGGTCCCCACTTGGACTTCATTACACAACTGCCTCCAGCTGGCTCTGGGCTTCTACCCTCCTCCTGCCCAGTTAACCCCACTGTGGCCGGGGACCTTTAAGATGCCTCTCAAACTGTCTCTGAGTTCCTGACTCACCCCAAGGAAGCATCAGCACCCTGTCCACAGCATGAGAAGCCCCCACCCCCATCTGTCTGTTCGGCTTCCTGGCTGTGTTAGACTGGGCCACTATTTTCTACCACTATCCCCTTTCCAAAATCTCTTGCTTTCTTCCTCTCCTCTCTGCCTGTGACCTTCTCAGTGGGAAACACCTTTAAATCTCAAAATCTGGCCCGACTCAATGGATGTGGGGCTCACCAACTAAGGTAGGGTGAAGACAGTGGCCTACAAAAGGGACCTGGGCAGAAGGCGAACAGCAGGTCCTTAGCCTCTCTGGGTCCCTTCCACTTCCTGCTCCCTGCTCCAGTCCTCACCCTGCTGTTTCTCTCACCTATGGAGGTCTTGGGAGCTTCCCTGCATGTCTAAGGGGTATGAACCCTAGCTATGCCACCTTTTTTTCTGCTGGCCAGAGCCACTCACCCTCCCTGATGTCCTTAGCTGCTGGTCCCTTGGCCCGAAGAGCTTCAGAGGTGAAGGCTCCTACCCTAGAAGATCCCTGAACAATGTATTCCATGATAGGTTATTGAAATGGGTACTAGTTTTCCCACTAACTCCAGCTCCTAGACACTGTGCCTGTCCCCTGAAATGCAGTACCACAGACATGCCTCTGATCCACAGTACACATCCTGCAGGACAGCAACTATCCCTTTAGGTCATTGTTTCCAACCTGTGTGCCTACCGGAGGCTGTCCCTGCCCCCTAGAATACAGCTGCTGCTCCAGGATGTGGGTTTCTGGTCTTGGACCACTCCTGCCCTCTTTTGCTGAAAACTGGTCTTTTGGTCAGACGCCGAGTATGTGGATACACGTGCCCAGGGGTGGGGATTGTGCAAGCTCTTGCATGGTGGCATAGGCTGAGTGGGTAAACAAGGGTAACCTCAACCAGGAGAAGAAGGCTACAAGGTTAGCTCATTACTAGGTATGCTCCTTGAGGGCTATTTTTTCGGCGTTTGCTTCTGTGATGGGTCCACGGCCAGGCATTCAGAAGCAGCAGGAACGAGGAAAAAGTGTTCAGGGTATGGAATTAGCCTCCGGTGTGGCTACTGCTTTGCGCTAACATGCCAGTCCATAAGATACACTCTGGTGAGTGTCCACACATGATATACAAACTGTCATGCTCATATCACATGGCATCCAGGTGGTCCTGGCCCAGAGCTCCCTGTCTCCATCAACTAGCCTTTTCCTCCAAAGCTCCTGGCTCATCAGGACCCTGGTTGTCGTCTCTGGACCTGTGTTTGTTCCTTTATCTACAACCCTCTTCCTAGGAGAATCCTCCAGGGTAGTGTGCCACTTCCCCTTGGTCCAATCAGTCATCCAAGTGCCTGTGCCTTCATGCTTTTCGCACTGGTATTTCTGCCAGCCTCAGAAGCCTCCATCTCAGTGCTGAGCCAGGCCGATGGCCCCTATGAGGGTGAACTCTAGGTCTGTGTGGCCCTTCGCAGATGACTACACAGGGCAACGGTTCTCAACCTTCCTAATGCTGCGACTCTTTAATACAGTTCCTCATGCTGTGGTGGCCTCCAACCATAAAATTATTGCATTGCTACTTCATAGCTATTTTTGCTACTGTTATGAATCATAATGTAAATACCTCATATGAACCCCAGAGGGGTGGCGACCACAGGTCGAGAACCACTGACATGGGGTGTCTGGGGGCTCATGAGGTCATAGGTGCAAGCAGTTATTCTGGCCTATAGGGGGCACCCATTACCACCAGCCACTGTCCTTATCAAACCTCTTGGCTAACTCAACTTTCCCGCTTCTTCTGGCCTCCATTTGTGGAGGGAGACTCTCAGGTGCCAAGAGACTGGGTAGCTTCCTCCAAGATCACACAACTGAACCTTCAATGCTAGGGTCTGAGGAGACCCTACCTGAGTGTCCTTATGGAGCTTGGCCTCCTCAGAGTTCCTATGAGGGAACAGGCAGCTAGCCTATAAGACATGGGCATACTGCCTGCCCTTCATGTGTGTTGAACATCCCATAATGCCAGCACAGCAGCACCACAGCTGTGGGGCAGTGGATTTGCATGATGTCCACCCGGCTGCTGGCATGGGGAGAGACCACCAGAGAAGTGCCCTTGCTTCCAGATGGTTGGGGATGGGTGGGCGGCAAGCAGCAACAGTTATGGAGGCCTGGACATGTGGAGGGAATGGAGACACAGCAGATGCCCCTCCGTGTTACCCAGTCCCGAGCTCTTCCTATGGTCCCAGCCTCTTCAGTTGCTGGGCATGGTCAGAGCAATGACCAATACCAGGGCAGCTCAGACTGGGACTGCCTAAGACCTTACAAGGGTTTCACAAGCTTTCACTGACTCTCTTTCTCAATCCTGTGTCAAGATGGGGACATGGAGGCTCCAGACAGTAAATGAGATCCAGGGATCCCTCTAAACATGTCCAGTTCGACTTACTTCCTCAAGGGTAGTTGAGAGAGCAGCACTTCGGGAGGTGTTTGACAGTGCTGGAAGAGCAAGTCCTGCTGAGCACTTCAGACCACAGGCAGGCTCAAAGGGCATGCTTGATGGTGCCCACTGGCTCAGGTGGGTCCAGGACACCTCTTGCTTTGACCACTACTTAGGTGCCTGAACCCAGCACAGCTCCTGGACAAGTCCGTGTGGTGTGCAGCGGAGTCTAAAGGCTTATAAGAGCAGACCAGAGAGGGCTTTCTGGAGAGGACACATTGGAATCCACCCCTCCCCCACAGAAGGTTCCTGGGTGTCCTTGAGGGGGGCTGCAGGCTGGGGGGGAGGGGCTCCTCTTTGCCAGTGGCCCCCGAGGCTGGAACAGTCCCCACTGCCAAAGTTTTTAGAGGGCCACTTGGGATGGGGGGAGGGGTGGGTCTGCACATGACCAGAAGCTGACTGTCAGTGTGGGGTGCTTGGAGCAGTGCCTGGGGTCCCCCTCCCCCACACTTACACAGATTGCATTTCTGTCCACTTTGAGGCATCCACTGATGTGTGCCGCTGGTGACAGAGGACAGTCACTGCTTCCCTCTCCCTCGGGCACTGTTCCCTGTCTGCTGTCTGCTGTCTGACTATTCGTGGGTCCCAGCCTGATGCTGGGTAGCTGTTTCTCTGCCTGTGAGTGTCTGTGTGTCACAGCGTGGGTGTGTCTGTCTGTCTGCAGGGAGCCTCTCCTGCTGACTCCTTCCTTGACCTCCAGATATCTGTGTCAGAGGAGGGGGGCCGGCTCTCCCCTCCCCTCCCCCTCCTCCAGCACTAATGCAGCTGCCACCACCCTGGCTGCACCCGGAACTTAGTGTCCTCACCTGTCCCCTGCAGCAGCGACCCCCTGCTGAGCGAGCTCAGGGGCATTGGTGGCGCAAACCAAGCGGCTTTGTGGGTCGCCCCTCCACCCACTGCTGCCGAGTCCTGGGCGAATGTGCTCAGCTCTGGGCTGGGTCCGCTCAGGCTCGTTCTTCCCTTATGTAACTCCACATCTGTGTGCGCCTTGCAGGTCACCCTGGACCCTGTTCTGAGCTCTGTCTAACCACGTGGAGGCTGAGACCCACAGTTCTGTGCATAGGAGGCTGGAGAGAACCCCTGTCCCCGGCATCACTTTCAGGGACCCCTCCCCAATCCCTCTTTGAACATCGCTTACCCCAGAAACCTACTTGCCCAGAGCAAGATGAAAAAGGGAGTCCTGGGGCGCAAGTTCCCTAGAGCTGGGGGCAGCCCTTCCCCACCCAAGCCGGGTCCTGTCCCAGGTCCTCACAAGCTCAGGAGCTACGGACAAAGGTCGGGCAGGGGTCACCAGGGCGAGGACACGAGGGCGGACGGAGAGCCAACAGCTTCCAGGTGCGACCTCAGACATGTTCCCAAACCCTGTGGCTGGTTATGGCCGGGGCTGGGCTCTCAGCCAGCCGCGGTGCGCACCCGGGTAGGGGCTCTAGTCGCCCGGCGGGCACGCGGCGCTGTCCGTGGTGCTGCCCGCGCCGGGCGGGGCGGAGGCGGGACGGAGGCGGGGCGAGGGCGCCAGCCAATGGCGGGGGCTCTGCGCGGGGCGCGGGGGGCGGCGGGCAGATCGCGGGGCGCACTCGGCTGCGCGCTGAGCTAGGGGTGCACCGACGCGCCGCGGGCGGCTGGAGCTCAGCTTTGCTCTCGCTGCAGCAGCCGCGCCGCCCGCCCCATTCCGCTCAGATTCCGACCCCAGCCCCCTCAGCACTGCCTTCCCGGACTCCATCCAGCCCCGGCTCTGGCTCCGGCCCCGCGGACCATGCTCCGGGTGCCCCCCGGAAAACCGGGCTGGGTGAAGAGCCGGCAAAGATTAGGCTCCCTAGCGGGGGCCCCACCCGGCCGCCCAGCTCTCGGCCCGCGCCGTGCCGGGTGTCCCCGAGCCTTGTGAGCCTGCTGGGCCATGGAGCGCGCGCCGCCCGACGGGCTGCTGAACGCGTCGGGCGCTCTGGCTGGCGAGGCGGCGGCCGCAGGCGGGGCGCGCGGCTTCTCGGCTGCTTGGACCGCTGTCCTGGCTGCGCTCATGGCGCTGCTCATCGTGGCCACAGTGCTGGGCAACGCGCTGGTCATGCTCGCCTTCGTGGCGGATTCGAGCCTCCGCACCCAGAACAACTTCTTTCTGCTCAACCTCGCAATCTCCGACTTCCTCGTGGGTAAAGCCCCCAGACCCTGTCCGCTGCCAGAGTCCAGGGGCACGGAGCCCGTGCTGGGCAATGGGGCTTAGCGCTCCGACCTGGGGTGGCTTTCCAGGGGCTCGGCCTGGGGAAGAGGACCTCTAGAGACCTTAGGATGGTGGGCGCAGGCAAAGTTCCTCTCCTCCCGACCCGCTGGACGGGGGCTGGGAAGGAATGTCCCCGGGGAGGCTGCCTCTGCCGGCGGGCGCTCAGCAAGGCGCAAGGCTCAGCGACCGCGGGTATAGCGCTGGTTCCGGCGCCGAGAACCAAACAAAGGCAGCGGCGCCGGACTCAGGATACTGGGAGGACGCTGGGGGGGGGGGGGGGGGGTGAAAGGGGGATTTGGGGAGCGGTGCTGGGGAAGGGGACCGTGGGGAAGGCGGGGGTGAGAGGAGGGAAACGCTCCGAGGAGCACGTTCTCACGTGTCCAAGCTCTGCTCCCAACCGGGGGAGGGGGGGCGGGGCAAGTGGTGGGGGCCGGAGCGCCAGACACCTGTTGGGGCTGCGAGCTGCTGCGTCTCCCAGACGCTGGAAGCCAGTTTGGGCGGTGAGAGCGGCTGGCGCGGCTGCAGCCAAGAACCCTTTAAGCCGAGAGAAAAGCTTTCTCGGTTTTTAAGCTGAGAAGGGAGGCTTGTCCAACAGCCAGGGTAGGGATGGGTGATCTGCTCCAGAGCCAGACAGTCCAGGGAGGACATATACCCCTTTTTTCCTCCTTTGGCTGTTGGTAGGGCTGACAGAAGCCCAGGTTCTGGGTCCAGCGGTTTCTATGCGGAGGTCTTTCCTCGTGCCTCCAGGTCCAGATGACATTGCGGGGCTGAAGGTTTTGTGGAGGCTGAAGGCTGGCAGCAGCTCTGTTGTAGGGAGACTGGGTAAACAGGAAGGTAAATAAGATTGCTGGTCCAAGAAAGGTGGCTACCCTGTGAGGGCCAGGCTTGGCCCTCTCTCCATGTGGTCAGTCTGACCCAAACCCTGAGCCATGGTCCCACCACAGCTCTCTCCCATAGGTGCCTTCTGCATCCCACTGTATGTACCCTATGTGCTGACGGGCCGCTGGACCTTTGGTCGGGGTCTCTGCAAGCTGTGGTTGGTGGTAGACTACTTGCTGTGTGCCTCCTCAGTCTTCAACATCGTGCTGATCAGCTATGACCGATTCCTGTCAGTCACTCGAGCTGTGAGTTGTGGGGTGGGGGCATTGGAGTTTACTCTGTGTGTTGAAGAGCACTGGGTTTGGCTGCTTCTGGGTTGCAGGCAGATGCCTGCTGGGCTTGCCCCCTTTTGATATTTGGGCCATTTTTCAGTGACCATTGGCTGCTACTGGTACTAGCATGAGACAGGAGGTTAGCTTGGGCATCCATACTCTTGCAGGAAGGGGTGTCAGTGTCTAACCTCTGTCCTAGGCAGGTTTAGGATCCCTGGAACCAAGGGAGGGTCTTCATCCTTCCCACTTTAGTGTAGATGAAGGTGTACACACATAGCCCCAGGAAGGCAAGCCACAGCTCCTAGCTGCACAGCGTCTCTTAAATGGCTATTGAAAAACAGCCCCAGGCCCACCCTGGCACCGACGTGGAGTTGGGCTGCAGCTGTCGCTTCTTCGCCTCTTTTTCTGGATGGCTCACTCACCTCAGGTCTTGTTGGGGGCATCCTGAGGGTCAGCTTGCCAAGAGCTGCATGGAGCCCTCTTGAGCCTCCCTAGGTCCCTTGAACCACCGAGAGAGTGGTGCAAGGACTCTTGTGACTGGGGTGCCCAGTGTAGAGCTGGCATGTGGCAGGTGTGCCCTAGACCTTCGGTTAGCACAAGCTCTGACTGTGGGTCTTGCGGCTGCCAAGGTGGCTGCCAAGGACACTTCTTTCAGCTGTCCTGCTCCTCAGCAGGATTTTTGCCCCCTCCTGACACCGTGCCCCTTGCTTACTGGTTGCACTTGGAGGTTAGACATGCTGTTTCTTGAAAAAAAAAAAAATGATGAGATGGCCCCACCTCCCTCTCCTTTCTAGCCATTCACCTTCTAGAAAAGGAGACAAGATACTTAATTCTTGTGTGTGTGTGTGTGTGTGTGTGTGTGTGTGTGTTGGGGGGTCTCTAGCAGTGGGCCAGCAGGTTTCCCTGCTGCATTCCTGGCTTCAGTAGTGGGAGGAAGGAAATACTGGGGCAGAGTCAGGCAAAGTCCTTCCCCTTCGGTACAGCATGCCGCTGAAGATCGCTCTGGCCCTTGCAAGAAACCTCACATCAGAAACAGTTGTGTGTGGCCCCTGGGTGTGGCCAGTGCTGATCTGGGTGCTAGTGATGCAGTAACCAAAGGCAGGACCCCATGGAGCTCGTAGGTGGCGGAGAGGGTAAAGAGAGAGGGTTCTGGTTCGTTGTGGAGGCTCTGAGGCTCTGGGAGAGTGTCAGTCCATCAGTTAGGCGGAGGACACAGGGAGGGGAGGGTTTGTGGAAAGAAGGCACATGCAACCTTGCCTAGGGCAGACATGGAAGCCAAAGCTTCTCTGAGCTTCTAGCCCAATGTTTCTGACCTCCTGATCTGTACAACCCACTACAGGTCTCCTACCGGGCCCAGCAGGGGGACACACGACGGGCAGTGCGGAAGATGGCGTTGGTGTGGGTGCTGGCCTTCCTGCTGTATGGGCCTGCCATCCTGAGTTGGGAGTACCTGTCTGGTGGCAGCTCCATCCCTGAAGGCCACTGCTATGCTGAGTTCTTCTACAACTGGTACTTTCTCATCACAGCCTCCACTCTCGAGTTCTTCACACCCTTCCTCAGCGTTACCTTCTTCAACCTCAGCATTTACCTGAACATCCAGAGGCGCACCCGCCTCCGGCTCGATGGGGGCCGAGAGGCTGGTCCAGAACCCCCACCTGATGCCCAGCCCTCACCACCTCCAGCTCCCCCCAGCTGCTGGGGCTGCTGGCCGAAAGGGCATGGGGAGGCCATGCCGCTCCACAGGTATGGGGTGGGTGAGGCAGGCCCCGGCGTTGAGGCTGGGGAGGCTGCCCTCGGGGGTGGCAGTGGTGGGGGTGCTGCCGCCTCGCCCACCTCCAGCTCTGGCAGCTCCTCGAGAGGCACTGAGAGGCCGCGCTCACTCAAAAGGGGCTCCAAGCCATCAGCGTCCTCAGCATCCCTGGAGAAGCGCATGAAGATGGTTTCCCAGAGCATCACCCAGCGCTTCCGGCTGTCACGGGACAAGAAGGTGGCCAAGTCGCTGGCCATCATTGTGAGCATCTTTGGGCTCTGCTGGGCCCCGTACACACTCCTCATGATCATCCGGGCTGCTTGCCACGGCCACTGCATCCCCGACTACTGGTATGAGACGTCCTTCTGGCTTCTGTGGGCCAACTCAGCTGTAAACCCTGTCCTCTACCCGCTGTGCCACTACAGTTTCCGCAGAGCCTTCACCAAGCTCCTCTGCCCCCAGAAGCTCAAGGTCCAGCCCCATGGCTCCCTGGAGCAGTGCTGGAAGTGAGCAGCTGCCCCACCCTTCTGTGGCCATGCCCTTGTACCTGTTTCTTGGATAGCCCCATGTGTGGCCCCTGCCTTGTCCAAGGCCCACTCTAAATGCCATGGCAGACTCTTAGATCATCAGCCCTACAATGGGGCAGCCAAGGGCCCTCACTGGTGGAACTGGAGTGTGCTGGCTGGCTCTGCCACCACACTCTCCTTCACCCCAGAAGTAACAATCCAGGAGTCCCAGGCATACCTTCCACCTCCACAGTGATGTCCTGTTTTGCATACTTAGTGGTTGGTGTCCTCCCTGATGCAAACCTTGGTGTGTGCTCCTGGCTCCAGCACTGGCAGTGTGCCCTGCATGTGCACGTGCCTGCCGCACACCCGCCACACACGCAACACCTTCCCTCTCCCAGACAATCTAGAGACGGTGCCCTTTGCTGCCTCTGTCTCTTGCTTAACCCCAGAGCCTGGCTCCTTTATCCCTCTCCCTTCAACTCTTTGCCCCACAAAGTGTCAAGTGCCCCAGGAACCTTGAAGCCGGTCTCTGCTTTTTCATTCTGGATGTTTTCAGGAAGATGGAGGAGAAGAAAACACGTCTGTGAACTTGATGTTCCTTGGATGTTTAATCAAGAGAGACAAAATTGCCGAGGAGCTCGGGGCTGGATTGGCAGGTGTGGGCTCCCACGCCCTCCTCCCTCAGTGCTGCGGCTTCCGGCTGAGCCGCTCCAGCTGCCTCTGCCCGCCCCACCCCCAGGCTTGGGACGATGGCCCTGCCCTGCCTGTCCCATCTGTGCAACCAGAATGTGTGTGTGTGTGGGGGGTGTCTGGTGACCCTGGGTGGACTGCTTTGTCCTCTCCTTGTACCCACCTCAGGCCTCTGCATGATCTGCTGTCTTTGTGCCCTGGTGTGCTGCCTCTGCCAATGTGAAGACACAATAAAGTGTATTTTTTTATGGGTGCTGACTTTTGGGGACTTTGTGGGAGTAGCTATTGTTCTGTTCGGGGCTCCAGTTGGAGGTCCTGTGGAGACAAGAATGTGGCCTTAGTATTCTGAGGAGCTGAGCTGGGGAAAAGCCAGGCTGTCCCTGGGGGATTAGGTCCCACCCGAGGTGGCGGTGCCCCGTCACAAGACTCCTCAAGGACCTGTAGGGGCAGAGCCTCAGCTGGTGTGCTTTTTCAGGAGGGTGACATGCTACTGGGAGGGCGCACATCTGCCTTTAGATTCCATATCTGTAGCCAGCCTGTACCAAGATGGGAGCTCAGGTTTCTTGCCAGAAATTATTCATCACCATAGCCTTGACCTTACACATGGGTAATCCAGCCATGTGCTGGCAAGACACAGGCCCCAGGAAGGGCCCTGACCATGCCTCATGCTTTGAGAGACTTTTAGGAAAGTGGCAGCCAGGGGGCTGGTGGTTCCACAGGGGGCTCCTGGGTTGTGAGCTGGGCTCGTGGCTGCTGAGAGATGAAGTCACCCTTCCAGGCAAAGATCTGGCAGTGGCTGTGGCTGAAAGCTGGGATGGGAGGAAGAAGACTGAATGAAGGTGGGTGGTACTGCCCTCAGTGGACGGCCTTAGGCCTAGCCTCACCACCTGGAACAGGACAGCTTAGCCCCGGCTGTCACCTCACCGCTGCCTTGATCTTCAGAGACTTCACCTTTCCTCCTCTGAGCAGGGAGGGAACTTGCCAACCTGGCCAGGCACCATGGGGCCATGATGCAGCAAGGGCACCACACACGAGCAAAGCTCCATGGTTAGCTCAGTGCTGCCCAGGGGAAGTAAGCACAGGCCTTTCCTCCTCCTGATGTGCTCTCCCTGCAGCTGTGCCTGCACTTGTCTTGCCCAAGTGCTTGGCAACTCCCAAAGGGCAGACCTTTCCCCTTTCTGCTTTTCTCTCTCTGGACTTGAGTTCTCTTCCTTTGGACTCAAGCCGGACCTTCTTCCTCACTCAAATCACTCAGGACCCTCCTTCCACTGGATTGTGGAATAAACCTGGGGACTCTGGGTCCTCCTTCGTAACTGTTGTTCCTTGTGCTTCGCTGCCCCAGGCTGGGTCCTACCCTGAGCAGCTGGTGGTGAGAGTGGATGCCACCTTCTTTGCTCAGCACTCCCCCACCACATCTTGTCCCTGAGAACTGAGAGGTTTTGTAGCTCCCCCAGCAGGCTGGTACTGGCTCCCTCATCCTGTACCGGGCCTGGCCTCCCCAGCGGGTGTCTGTCCCCAAAGCCCAGAGCGATCTGGGGAAGGACAAAGGACTGCTCTCTCCAGCAACGGGCACTTCCAGCATAGCCAGCGGCCAGGCTGCCCCTCCACCCGGCCCTACTAAATGGCTACAAATTGGAGGATAAAAGCACAGGCTTTCAAGCAATTTTGCCTTCAATCTCTGGAAACTGCCGCTCCCAGAGTCACTGTGTGGGGACGGAGGAGGAGAGAAGAAAGACACGGAGTCTATTGGGCCCGCGTCTGCAGCAAACAAACAGGCGGAGGGGGCCTTCTGCAGTTCCAGCCGCTCCCATAGTCCCAGCCTGGAGGAGACAAAGCTGTGCTGGAGCCCCGCAGTGCAGCTGTTGTTTACTGAGCACCTACTGTGCACTGGTGCCAGGGAGGTGGGTTGCCAGCAGAGCAGCGGAGATACGGGCCCTGAGCCAGGGGTGATGGATAAAAGACCCCTGGGAGAAGCGGTTCAAGGTCATAGCTGCCATGGGCCTGGGAGGAGGACCGGTTACCAACCAGGGACCACCAACAGAGACAGACATCCACTTGGATTATAAATCAGGGCTATGGCCAGGCTAGGGGCCACCTGGAAGAGTAGTGCTCAGAGCCAGCAGGGTCCCTCTGGGTGCTGACACTGGCTGCAAGTGCAAATCATCTCTCCACCCTTGGCACCTGAGGATACCCAATGGGGAGAGGTCCTGACACATACTAGCTGGGAACCCTCCCAGCCTAAATGAAGAGCCTAAGCTACTAGGGGCTCCATCAGGTAAACCCAGTCCTCTCCTCCACAAAAGGAGAAATGACTCAGAGGCAGGGCTGTGAGTGGGGATGGCTGGGGTCTCTCTGGCATGACTTCTGGAGGGAGCCCTGCTGTACAAGGTGGCTGCTGCCTACCTTTCTGCTCTCTGTCCTACCCCAGTGCTTCTGTATAGGTTCCAGGGTGTGAGGAACCTTTCACTAACAGCTAATGGTGCTCTTGCTGGGTTCTAGCCAAGGTTAGCATCTCATGTCCTCATAGCAAATCCCCAGTACTGTGCTCACTTTCTGTTCTGCAGACTCACCCCACATCAGACACCCCACATCAGACACTGGTAGTCGGCAAGGAGCCAGCACCTGAAGCCAAGCCTGATATGAAACCCAAGCCCCTTCCACTCCATCCCTCTCTTCCTGAGCAGCACTGTGCTCTAGATACCATGGGATAGCAGTGTCTGAGCTGGTCCCTTCTGGAGGAAAGCATTCACCTAACCACCTAGTGGTTGGCAGGGGTTGTCCCAGGATGGAAATGAAAGCAGGGTCTTTGAGGAAGGCTCTGTTGATCTTTCTTTGGTGTGTGTGTGTGTGTGTGTGTGTGTGTGTGTGTGTGTGTGTGTATTTTGTTTTTGTTTTTGGTTTTTGAAGACAGGGTTTCTCTGTGTATCCCTGGTTGTCCTAGAATTCACTTTGTAGACCAGGCTAGCCTCAAACTCAAAGATCCACCTGTCTTTGCTGGGATTAAAGGTGTGTGCTGCCATGGCCCAGCTTGGCTCTGTTGATCTTTTCTTTTGGTGTTTTGAGACACGGTTTCTCTGTGTAGCTTTGGTTGTCCTGGACTCGCTTTGTAGACCAGGCTGGCCTTGAACTCAGTGCTCTGCCTGCCTCTGCCTCCCTGAGTGCTGAGATCACAGGCGTGTGCTACCAGGCTGGCTCTGTTGATCTTAACACAAAGCATTTGTTATTGAGATTTTGAGATCGGGTTTTCTGTAGCTCAGGCTGGCTTCCAATCTATTATGTAGTTGAATTTCATACCTTCCTGTCTCTACCTCCTGGTGATAAGAATCTACGCCTGAGACACCATGCCTGGATTTATGTAGCACCGGGAATGGAGCCCAGAGCCTTAAGCATACCAAGCAAGCACTCACCAGCTGAGTTACCCCTCCAGCCTTCAAAACACTTGTTTTAATCCTAGAGGCAAAGGCAGGCAAATTTCTGAGTTCATCTGGTTTACAGAGTGAGTTCCAGGACAGCCAAGGTTACACAGAGAAACCCTGTCTCGAAACATTCCCACATAAACAAACAAACAAATAAATGGAAAGAAAGAAGGAAAGACAACATTTGTTTCTTGGGCACTGTATGCCCTTCTCCACTGTGCTGAGACAAGGAGTCAGGAGGGCAGCCCCTGCCTTCCTGAGCTGCTGCTGAGTCAGTGCTGTGGGGTCGAGGGTCAGTGGCCCAAGTGTCAAAAGTGTGCTTCAAAGGGATACTGAGACTTGGAGGCCAAGGGCTGCCTCAGCCTCCCCAGCTGGTCTGTGCTGAGACTAAGAGTAAAACCCAGGCATCTCAAGGGAATATCCAGTCCTCTGTCTCCCTCCTGGCAGCTTGCATGAGCAGTCAGGTGGGGGTGGGGTATTGTGGGTTCCTAAATTCTGCATCTCTGCAGCTTAGGCTCAGCATCTGGGCTTGAGGCAGCCAGGTGCCAGCATCATTTCAATGCCGCCTGGCAGGGCTCCTTCCCCACAACCCCCACCACATACACACCAGCAGGAAGTGCCACTTGGGCCACTGCAGGCCTCATGTCATTACCACAATTGCTCCACTGTTGACAGTGCCCACACCTGCTGCCAGCAGGTAGTGAAGTGCTAACCTGGCATTACATGTGGGGGATCCCACCTCCCTGCAGGAAGGCAGACCTCAGGGGGTAGGTGCTGGCTAGGGAAAGGTCCACTGCCTGTACCTTCCAGCTGCTTCTCTCTGCCCCCACTCCACAGTGGGGCAAGCACAAGATCAGGAGTGGCAGGATGGAGAGTCCAGTCCAGACTGACTGTTTCTTCGCTGTGGACCCCAGCAGGTCCTTCGGCCCCAGGACCAAAGAGCCCTTTCCTTCCTTAGGGACCTATGAGGACAGAGTGACATCTCAATTCTGAAGTCTGGCACATGGATGACACAACTGGGGTGGGTACACCAGGAACCCTAGAAGAGGTTTTGGCTGCACAGAGTCTAGGGAAGAGACTGAGGACTGGGCAGAACACTCCCTGTACCTTGCCTGGGAAGGGTCACTATGGTACCAGCCTAAGGACTGTGCTCAGACCATAATGACACCAAGGACAAGTTTGGGCAGTTACACTGTCCCCAGGCCATACTCTGAGCCCTTAAA